TGATGGACTTCTTGCTGTACGAGCGGAATATATCCAGTTCGCTGCTGGCAGAGGAGGAGGCTGAGGAGGGCATGGATTTGGTTGTGGTGGTGGGGATGCGTGATGTTTTGGCCGTGTTGTTATTGTTCTGTATGGTGCTGTTGTTGTTGAGCAGCTTCTTGATGCCACCGCCATCGCCCTCTCCCTTGGCTACCCCTCCTCCTCCGCCGGCGCTTCCTCCTCCACCACCACCTCCTCCCGATCCAATACCCGAATAGATTTTGCCATATTTCACATCCTGCGCTTGATGATAATCCTTGTAGCCGTACTTTTTGGCCTGCACATTTTTGTGATTTTTCAACATCTGCTGGAACTGTTTCCAATCCGCAACCGTTGGCAATGAGTACGTGGACGTGGACGCGTCCTTGTTGGCATTCAGACTTTGCGAGGAGCCGTACAACAGTGACACAAACTCGTTGAGACCCATTTTCTGGAGCATGCGCCCTCCGCACTCAGTGGCTCTCAAACTGGGCGACACGAGCACTGTTATACCGTATTTGCAATTGTCATAAACCACTGACCGTACACTGAGCGAATAAAAGACAGACAGACGACCGGCGGTTTCAGAGTTCGGCACGCAACTAACCGCGGATCCACAAACGAACGGCAAACTTGTGGATCTCGCTCTCTGCCGACGCCAACGTCGCTGCCTTGGTCGCCGGCTTTAACTTTAGTCTTACAATTCCAATCCAACAACCAAACAATCCAACTTCCACTTAAACTCTACTTCAACTCTAGCTTTCAGCGACTTTGCAGAGGCCGCGCAGCAAAAGCAAGCCACTAAATCGGCAGCTTACATAAAGTTAAATACTAAAATCGGGCACGTTCAATGTTTGTAAAAAAAACACAAGTTCTGCGTACATTTGATGAATGATAAAATTTGAATTTAGACAATGCTATGAAACGAGAATAACAGATGCTTTGACCAAAGCTAATTTTGGATAATTCCTAAAAAGAATTTCATTTGCCCATGACAGAAAATCAAATGGTAAATATCTTGAAAAACTGAAGGTATCAATAATTAAAAATCAAAAAAAATTAAAAATCAAAAAAATTAAATGGCAATCATTTTAAATAAACTTCAAAAGGGTCAACATTTTAATGATTTATCCAATCGAAAGTTACCTCCCCTTTCACTGTTATTTATTTGTTGACTTTGAGTTTCCAAGAAAAGTTGCCGCACATCATTTCTATCTCAGCTTCAGTTATTGTTGTGGAGATTGTAATTATATATTTTTTCTTATTTCAAAAATTGTCGCCGTGACTTTCGCGTCACAGTTGGCCAATAGCAAAAGTAGTCTTTCAACCGACAGCCATATGAGCGTATGCAAAATCCAAGTAGAAATATAAAAACCAAGAGGAGAAAACTTTGAAGTGATTACGGATGGCAAGAACTCCGCGTTGAGCGGGCACAGCTCATTAAGAGCCACGCTCCAGTTAGAAGCTCGAGGGCTATAAACTTTATCAAGTTGGAAGAGATTAAGCTGCGATAATTATGGCCAGACAAGAAAGCATTTCTATTGAATAGCATTGGCCAACGTGATAAAACAGCCAGTTCCATCCTGACCTATATCTAGCAAATTAAATATTATAAACCCCGAAACCCAAAACCAAAACCCCCCACAAAAAATTGATTAAACAAGAAAATAAGCATGGCATGTGCCGGATATTGAATGTAATCCAAAAACTGAAAGTTTCAGATTAATAGGAATCGGGGACTTACGTAAGCCCCAAAACAATTGTTGAATCGAAGAAAGCGAACTCTCATTGCATAGCTTGCGAAATATTGCGAATTATTTAAAATGTATATGCCCATAAATATCTCGATACAAATTTATGCATAACTACCATAAAACGTAGTTCTCACGCCAAAATATATTATTCAAAGCCGAAATTACCCAAGCCCTAAGAGCCACAGTTTGGTCTCTAGGCTCTCAACAATTTATGCAATATTTGGCTTCGGTTTTAGTCGAACTTTTGTGTGCAAATTATAAAAACCCACGAAGTAGGCAGAAGAAAACCTCATCTTCTCTTCTTGCATAAATTTGTCATGCGAATTAAGCTTGTGAAATGTTTGCTGACAGTTCAATACTTTTTTTTGGGTTAAAGTATGTTAATGTATTATTATGGGCCAGAAGTGGGTTAATTAGTGCTGTTTATTAACCAGAAACTATATAGGAAATCACATTGTTAAGCCTTCGTTTATTGTTAGTAGCAATTTATTATTATGGGCCAGAGGTGGGTTAATAATGTTCCTTATAAATTAGAAATAATGAGCCTGCGTTTATTGTTAGTATGGAACAATCTGTTTGACAATATTTCAATTACTTTATTTCCTACCGACTGCAACGACCACCAATGAAGCAATCTTGTAAATGAGCCAAGCTATTTTCTTACAAATCTTTCGCCTTACAAAAGCGGTTCATGTGTGGGCTTGAAATGAATTGCAAATTGTTATGGAAACGTTAACGTACTCAATACTCAAAGTAGTAATAATTTTTCATACGTACATGGCAGGGTATATATTTTTTACATTGGTTACGCATGGCAGAAACCCGCGAAAGAAAAGTAAAAGTATTTCCAAACAAAAGGCACGAAAAAAGCAAAACGCAAAAATACTGGAAAGGTGCGTGTTGGTGTTTGATTTCTAGTGAAGAGGGGCGGCCATTAACTTCTTTTTGCAAATGTTCATCAGCAAATTGCAATTGCAAAATGCAAAACAGTTAATAGATTACGATGATATTTTCTTTCTCGAAGCGTGCCATCGGAGCAGCTGAATAACGAATAACGCTTGACAATTAATCGGGTAAAAGCGTGAAAAATGGCCATAAAGAAAAGCCCACGATAGCGACGACAACGGCGAAATCAATGAACTTGATGTGTGTAGGCCATAAATTAGAGTGAAAACAAGCAGTCAGATAATGGGCGCCTTTTGGCCACACACAAGCCAAATAAATACACACACCCAAAAGCAAACCAACCAAAAAGAGTTGGCGTGCGTTTTAAAAAGATTTTTTCTAGTATACCCTTTCAGTCTGCGTTTATTACGAATATATTTGGATTTGATTTACAAAATATAATTGCAAAATTACTTGCTGAAATCAGTTGGTTAGTTGTATATAATACACCTAAAAACATATTCTGATGAATACAAGCAACAATTCATATATAAACAAACATATTTGATGTTTTGCTTTATTTAGATAGAGGCTTTGACTGTTACCATTATTTTTTGGTATTTTAGTATCCGTTCCTATTTTGTGTGGCCCAAAGCAAAGCAGGGCATTCAGATATCATCGTTGTATCTTGTACCACTTTCTCAATGTCTATTTCACATGCGGGCCACAATCACGCACAATCAAAATTAAATGACAACTTAATTGATCGCTCCCCCAAAGTGGATGGTGTGAAAGCAATAAATAAAATTCGACAAAATAGTCGAACTCAGCGCCATAAAGAGTGTGGGTGAAAACTGATTGCTTCAAGCTCTGTGTCTGTGCTAATATTCCCACAGAAAAAGGCGAAGGGGCATTCAAAACATTTAACAAACAATTTAACTTCAAATAAGCCAAAACGCTGCAGTGGCTCGAAAGTGGGGATGGGGGTGGGGTGAAGAGTGCTGCGGGGTTCAGTGGAGCGTACACCAACGCCCAGTATGAAAAACAAGAACAAAAAGCACTGTGGCAGCAGCTACAACTCGCTGAACATCAAAGCAAATTTCGTTAAAGCGCCATAAACAAGTTGTGACATTTGCAAACGGAATAAAGGGGGAAATTCTCCCAGTGTTGTGTGTGGGCCATTATTTAGAACCACCTGCCAAGTGGGGGTCATGCACACGATTATGTAAGCACTACACACGTATGTATGTATGTATGTATTATATGTGCGGAAACATGGCGAGTAAACTTAACCAGTAAATTCACTGGCTTACTCAACTGCTGAACGGGCTGAAGATAAAGACCAAAACTGATAGGCGAAAAGGAAGTAGGGGAGTTTTGCCACTGAAATTGAATTGAATGGCCAAACTTTGAAGATATATTGGTAACCACTATTAGAAAACAGTGCAGACTGGGCTTTTCTTGAAATATTTTCAATGCAAGTGGTTTTTAGTGACTTTAAAAATATAAATAAGAAAATAATTTCTTTTGAGTTTTCTTTTCATTTACCTTAAGTAACTGAAAATTACAATTATAATTTTTTTATGAGATGGTCTTATTTATATTATATACCTTTTCTTGACTTTCAGGTGAACTAGGAACCATCAAGTATTAAATAAGTATACATTTTAAGTGCCACCCTTGCCAGTCATTACTGTATTTGCGGGCGAAGAAGACCAACAAGTTAAACAAGTCGTATAGACGAATTCCATAAAGATAATCACCGCCTATTAGTGGCATTCTGCCCAACCCCAGTGCATCGCTAGCTAATGTATATAAATGCTTTATATGTATATAGCCCAATGCCGAGCCCACACCAAACTATCACCTTAACTATTAAAATCATTTAGAGGTGTGCTACGCATTTGACACCAGAACAGGTGGCAAGATGGAACTAGACAACTGTGCAAACGCGTGTGGCAGTGGCTAAGTCCCTAATCCGCAAATGGCTAATTAGCTGCCTTAATATTAATTACAAAAGTTGCCTAAACTCTTAAGCTCCAAAAACTGTCCCCAAGAGAGCATTTTGCAATGGACAGGCAAACTTATTTCATCGGCCATTGTGCCATTGTACCAAATTTTTTTGGACAGACAAATAACTTTGGCGGCACGTTGAGAAAAAAAAATTAATTTGATTTGAAATAAACTTGAATTTCGTATGCTTTCACTTCGTATCTTTCGATTGACCAAAAGGGAAATAGGAAATAAGTAATGGGGTTACAATCAATTTGAAGTGCTCCAATTTCGATTTCCCTTCGCGCGCGTAATTAACTTGTTCGAAACCATTTTTTATTTGACACTTACCCTCGGAAACGCCGACAACTGAGGGGCTTTTAATAATCGTGCCTGATTTAAGTTTCGCCGATTGTGGCTGCTTGTTTGTGGTGGCGGATTTTGTGGCCACTCCTTTGAGGGGTGTTGCAATGCCAGCAGGGCTTCCCGAAGTGCCATTCAAACGTTTATCTGCAATGATAAGTGGGAAAATCTCTCGTAATTTATTTAAATTTGTACGAACACTTAAATAGCGCAGCATACTTTTAGGCCTTTGCCACAATAACCGATAAGACTCACTTTTTATCTCGTCGTTCTCATCATTTTCTTTACTTTCATCTATATGACTTTTCATTAAATTTTTACTGCCAAAATGTTTGCGAAAAAATCGAACTAAACCCATATTTCCGCTTGTCCTTATCTCTATCACTCCAAACGCCCCCCTCACATTCGGAGTATGATAAAAAGAATAAAAACGTAAGCCGGAAATGTACTTTATTAATGTGAAAATAGGCTAATAATTCTGATGTTTTGTATGTTCTATTTATTCGGAGTGTGTCTATTGGGATATGAATTTTTTGACTGGGCCTGCTGGTTCCAATAATTATGATAAAATTAAAACAAACAAATTCCCGCTTTCTGGCTATCAATGCACTTGAGTTCACAAATGGCAGGGAGCGCAGAAAAGGCAAAAATCAGAATCTGAATCTGAATTCAGTGGAGGAAATAACGATCCCGAGCCGCCGCTGGCCGCCCAGCATGTCATAATTTGACCAAATTAATGAAATCAAAAGAAAACCAGTTTGCATTTTCAGGCTGCAACGAGGTGCACAAGGTGCAAAACGGGGAAAGAATGCCAGTCGCAACAGAAACACCTGTTTTAGAGCAGCGTATAAGGTGGCAAGTGCGTGTGGCAAGCAGTGCATAAAGCAGTACATATGTTGCTGTAAGATCACAAAGTTGCGGTGGCAGGAGAAACCTTGCTTCCTAAACTATAAATAAATTCAAGTCTTTATATTTTAAGAAATACAACATAAATAAGGAAAACAAGCTTTTGTACTTAAGGAGTTAAGGACTTAAGAATATTTTATTTATTATTTGTATTTACATATGCAATGAAAGGCTGCTAATGCTTGAACAAGCAGTTTATCGAGTGGAAATGTTGGCGAAGAGTAACAAAGCAGTATGAAAGAGCTAAAATGTTGCTAAAGATCTCTTTTAAACATATGTTAGATCTCTTAAGTTGAAAACTCTTAGTTCATCAACTCTTTGGCTTCTAAAGCTTTCTCTTAACTCCATACAGGTTTCCTTGAATAATTAGCATAATTTGCTTCTTTTTGTATTCCACGGACAGTGCTGTCCACAATCGGTGCACTATTTTTTAGACCTAGCTAAGGTACATATCCTAAGTTATGTTAATTTTTTAAGAAACTAGGAAAAATAAAAGGTAAAAAATTAGTTCTCCATTCTTTAATTTTAATAAGCTTTTCTCGAAGTATTTTTGCATGAAATACTCTGGTTTTATGATTACAAAAACATTTGAAAAGAAAAATAAATATAACGTGCCTGCGTGGCATTAGCCTAACTTCACTTTTCAGTGCGATTCTTTTATTTTTGCTAAACGAAAATAATGCAATGTATTGGTATTAAGCAAATTTGAAAACTATAACATATATATAAGTATTTCAGTACGTAAATTAGTTTTTTAGGTTTAGTTGGGGGTTTTCCTAAGGTATATACAAATACAAATACTTTTTACATAGGGTGGATAAAAAGTTCCACATTGTATTACCTAGCTACGTACTTGGGTATCAGATCTAGGTACTCCCCAAGACCGTCCGCAACTGACCTCACGGCCACTCGGGAACCCGTATCGAATCTCCCATATTGTCTCTGGTAATTCTCCAGCTCGTGCTGAAATCTTTTAGCCCGGTTGTCACCGATTCGGTTTCAATGCTAACCGCAAAAACAAAAAGGCAATAAGGTAAAAAGGAAAAATAAAATAAAGCTAAACAAACCAGCGCCAGAAGCCATAAATGGCTAGTACAAGTCTAGGCGGCAAAAAACCGGACAAGTACAAACAATGGAATTGTGCAGGCCGAAAAAAGAGTTTACAATGCCACGAATGTCAATGTCAGACGCGAGTTGTGAACTTTCAAGCCACGATACGGGGAGTTTACCACCCATAAAGAATCTCAGTTATCCCAGTTTTATTCGGCTAAATCATATATCGAAGTCCATGGGCAATTACCATTCCCAGTAACCGGATTTCTTTCAACACTCTTCGATTCAGGTGCGTGGGCAGCCTATCTGAACGATACAAAGAGGTGCGAAAGTGCCGACGACTCAATCGATCTTGCGCAATTATGCCAATAATCATTTGGGTGTTTTCTTTTGGCCAACCGGCAGACGTGGGCTAAAGAGTGTGTGTGTAGTGTGGGCTTAAGACCATCACGTTTTGCCCCACAGATGTGTCCAGTGAATACTGAATAGTTTTTTGCGATTAAAACCGATCAAATTAGCTGGAATCGCGCTTCATGGTGGGTGTGCTGAAAAGCAGCGAACTTTGGTTAATAGAACTCCTGTTTATCAGTTGCAATGGTGTCGAGGTAAAAGAATTTAAGGCACGTCTTGAAAGAAAACTTCTCTAGAAGCTGATTGAGGTATCATCACCGTTGGTTATTAGCTGCAATTGTCTTGTTTGTTTCCCAGCCAGTGCAAAAAACTCATATTTAAATACTTCTCCTTTTTGTTTTGATTAATCTTTGGAGGCATTAATTGCACGAAATTGCATGTTGGCTAAGTAAATCTTAATTAGTACAAGAAATTCCAGAAGAGAGCGTGAACCAAGCACAAACAAAGCTTGTTTTTCCCACTTTAAATATGCAAAACACGTTTCACCATCGTTTTTCATGCTTTTCTTTTGCTTGCAGTCAATGAGAAAATATCGCGATAAGCATGTGCGCTCTGCATTCCCTGGACAATGATCACTGTGATCGGGAAGAGGGGCTAAAGTAATTTTAAATTAGACTCTTTCGCCGGTTACTTTATAAATAGAATGCCCCACAAGGAATTCAGCGGAGGAGGCATTTTTTTAGCGACATTTCGAGCAATTTAGCAACATCTCGGCAGGCGAACACAATGAATTTCCCTATTAAGGCTAATTTATGCAGGCCTGCAAACATTTGCATGACCCGGGCACGACCGTAAAAAAAATAATGAAATCCGCACAGGCAAATGCGACGGAATAAAAGAAAAAAAAAGTTAATTTGCATCGGCCGGGAATCGAACCCGGGCCGCCCGCGTGGCAGGCGAGCATTCTACCACTGAACCACCGATGCTTCGGTGAAATTGCTCTGCCAAAATGTCCTCTTAAGGCTTTTATAAACTCCGATTGCTTATAATAGTTCAATCACAGCGGATCTAAAATTTATTAAGTTTAGTGTTTCAGTTTTCCATTGCCCCACTTTCCTATCTGCAAAGCAAATGAAAATTATGGGGTCATCGAAATTCTACACGAATAGAATAAGCTAAAGAGAAAAAGTTGATTGAGGCTTGTCTTTCGAAATTCGTTAATTGCACATGTGGCAAAACTGATTTGATTACTATGCTGCAGACATGTGAATTATGCTAAAAACTATTGTTGATTGCTACCAACTTTAAACTGATGAAAGAAAAAAATAATAAAGATGTCTTTTAACTTTATTTAATTTAAACATCACGATTGTATTCAAATAGTAACTCTACATCTTTAATTGCACAATTTATTTATAAACATAAATACAAAATAATATTTTTAAATCAATTGAGAAATAAACTCGTTTAAAAATTCCTTAAAGAAGTTTAAGAGGCACCCCCGATGAAGCAATGTCCAAATGTGTGTCATGTATCTTTGCAACAAATAAACTCCCCTGGACATCTCATCACAAAAAAAATCAATGAAGCAATCAGTAACTTCGGGCAGTTTCCACCGAATCAATTACCACACTCATTTCAACTTGATGATGACTCACAAGGAGTGAGTCAACGATGCCGAATTTGCGCAGTATTCAAAGGCACACATTGCACAGAAATCGCCAGGAGTTTGGGGCAAGCTGCGAGGAGCCAGAAGCCTGGAGACATAATGTCACCTCAGCAGCTGTTGTCACACTGCAGCTGGCACCGATTTTCCCCAGTTTTCCTTACAGCCAACTGTGGGAATGGAGCGCTAAATTGTTTTCCCTCCAACTAAGCATAGCGGACTCTGGGAGCTGAAACACGCCCTCAATTGAAATATAGCGACTTCATGACTTGGTCCAGTCAAGATACGACTCTTCTACGGCAAGGGAATGGGAAGGGGGCGACCAGGTGGACAGATTTAGCAATTCATTGAGGGCAACAAGTTGAGCATTTCACCTGAGCGATGATTTCGCATTTAGCCAAGTATTACTCCTCTGAGGGAAAGAAGGGGCGTGGCGAGGGCGGCTCTGGACAAAAGTTGACACCTTTCAAGGGGAATTTCCAAGAAGCTGTAAAAAGACTTTTAAGTCTACAAACGGTAAGAGAGTTGTTAGAGTTTTCGTGGGACTTCCAATGGGAGAGCTCAGAGATACTAGTTTGGCCGGTTGGTACAAAGGCACTGTTCAATAAATCTTTTAAAATGTTTTAAATAATTTGGTAAATTTCCCAAGCAGATATAATACATATATATAGCTAAGCCGTATTCTGAATACATTTTTAGGCAAATGCTATAACTAACACTAATTGTTAAATCATCTATATGCCTCAATAATAACTTAACAATTGCTTAACCAAAAACAATCCCCATTTGTCTCTCTTAAAAATTATTTAATTTGTTAAAGGAAGTCGAAAACAATTTTTTCAGGCCGTGTAAATATATAGAATATATATTTTCGGTTAGGCAATGTTAAGAGCGTTTTTAAACAAATCATTTTGGGACCAACTCAGTGAGTTTGCACCCCGAAATAAAATGGCTACAACTATTAAGTTTTCAACATATTTCAACTGAACCGAATTTCTGCACTTACGTATTGAAGTGGGCGTGGGAGTGGCTGATGATTTGCTGCGCGTGGATTGACCCTTGGTCGTCTGCTGAGTTTTTGGTGGCGGTCCCAGATCGGTTGGCGATATGCTCAGATTGCGCACATCACGCTTTTTGGCAGCTCCTGCAAAGAACAAAAAGATGGGGACAGATGAACAAAATGCCAGGCAAAATACCATGTCGCTCCCTACAATCAATACGTGAATGATGCGGATGCGGATGCGTAATTTATGCGCAAACACGTTGCCATGAAACGCAAAGCTTTAAAGTGTCTGGGTTGGGTTGAGTTATGCACTCGGATTCCCATTTAATAACTCAAAGGCAAAATCACACTTGTTTTCCCCCATCAGCTGGGGGTCTTTTTTTTCGGCAGGGAACGCTATTTGCATTTTAACGTTTTGTGGATTAAAACAAAGCGTTTCCATAATTGAAGTGTCTGCCCCAGCATGTACACAAATAAAGGGTGAAATTATATTATGCCAGTGCAGGCATCCATTAGTTCTCAATGGGAGTGGAGTTCCACATGAAAGGCATCGAATACGATTCTGGTTGCTTAGTTTCTCAAGTGCACTTTAGTTTTGGTGCGGATTCATTAAGACATCGCTGGCAAGTACTTCAAACAAATATTAATTTCAGAATTTAAGTTTCTAATAGTTTGAATGGACTTAAGCTAATAAAGATGTGTAGCAAAATGAAAATCGTTTGCAGACAACTTTCTTTACGTTTCATACTGGTTAATCTAATTTTCCACCAAATAGTTAGCTATCTGGCCTGGCTCTCAATCATATTTTATGCTCTGCCTCGTACTAATCAGCTTCGATTCACGTTAACTTGGGGCCTTCTTAACGACCCTTTATTGTTGGTCTTACCAGGCCATCTTCAGTTCCAGTTGCCCAGACTTGGCACTTGTTAGCCACTATTTGTGCCCGCTTTAGGGCCAGGTAATCAACAGAGCCAGCCAGAGCCGGGAAAAATGCATTTCCGACTCGACCACAGAAGCGGCGGCAATAGCAGCTGCTGCTCGGACAACGTAATAAATTTTATCTTTAGCTGACGGCTAATTGTGCTGGACATGGACATGGAAATAAAAGTTGCACTCGCGGCTTAGGCCAAATGGGAAACTTTTATCTGCGAAGAGCGTTGCACCGGAGTCACGTAATCCTTTTGTGGCATATCGGGGATGATAACCGTGCTGCAGCCACAGACAGCAGTTGGAATTTCGAAAAAGTTTCAAAGAGGAAAAGGATTAAGTTTGCTGACGCTGAATGGAATACGTGAATTGGTGGGCTTTTGTTGAATATTTAGAGGATTAAAGTTTTTATATTTAAATTTTTAGAGTACTTTCGCTAAGGCCACAATAATATAAGCTAATAATTATATTTTGGCCTTCATTTTAAAGTAAGCATTCATATGGAATAAAAATTACACCTGTTTGTAATAATAGGTGTAATATTATTCATAATTTGTTTCAATATTTTATGATTAAAAAATAAAAACTAAATTTAACGTTGCCACAAAATCTCATCGATTGAAATCAGTTGAATTTTTATATGATATATACATACATACAGTTTTTTTTGTCACCCCCGATTGAAAATTCTACAAAATAACACTTCAAAATAACGCTTCAACTTAAATTTGTAATAATTTTGTTAGGTAATACGAAAAATGTCACCAAAAACTGTTTGTTTTGGAAGGTGCAAAGACACCATATCTTTTGGTAGATGCTTACACAACTCTGTCTCTGTTTACATTACAAGTTAATGCCCTCGACGTGGGCTTATCCCAAAACGACTCGAGTCATTAGCATTTATTTACCTCTACCGCCCAACACCCCACTCACCTTTTGTGAGGCCTTTGGAGGCCCGTTTGCCAAAACTGCCGAAGCGTTCGCGTTCGATCATCTGACTGTGGATATATCGCTCGGAATATGAACGCGACAGTTTCTCCTTGGAGCTGTGGGCCCCCATTTTGTTAGATTTTTTTTGTGTATTTTCTGTGATCCACGTAAGAGTTTTCCTGCACGGATGCGACTGCAAGAGAGTGTGTGCTTGGCTCTGATCGATATCACGATTTCGAATTTCACTTTCACAGGCTCTCGATTGCTACACCCGCGCACAATCTCCAGACGTCGGCGATGGCGGCAAATTTAATTTGATGTCGCTGACAATTCCCGCTTGAATGCATTTTGCTTTGTTCACTTTTTATACTTATTTTTTGTTTGCAAAACTACTTTTGCTCTATGATTACCACAAGGTTGACATTATAAATTGTCTTTTTTTTAATAGTTTTTTCCATTTATTTCCCTCTGCAGTTGACAATGAATGGATTTATAATGGTTAGATTTAATTGGCGGACATTAACCAATTCAATTAGCCGCCTCATTAAACTGACTCCCCCTCAAACCTCACATTTTCTGCTCCCTGTAATCCGATTTAATTAAATTATTGTTAATGGTGCCATCCACGGGGCGCTTCAATTTTATGGCATTTTCCACATAGTAAAAAAGTAAAAACATTCCAAGAATCACACATTCAAATAGAATAGTGGCCTGTAAAATATTTTCACGATGCCAACAACCTAGACACACAAATCCGAAATAGACAAATACTTAATCGGCCAGACATGAAAACAATTTTATATTTAATTGACCGTAAGGCTCTGGTGCAACAATTTATTATACCCTTCAGGAAGTTATGCTAACTTTGGCAAGGTGCTTACTGGAAATACAAATTAAACAATTTTTGTAAACTACAAATTGAAAGCAGTCTTGTACAAAATAATGTGTATGTCTTTTTCATTTCAGATATTAAAGATATGGTCCAAATATATATTCTTTAAAAAATATAGGGTATTTGAAGATTAGGCCACCCAATTTATACAGTAGTATTTATTTTCTTTATTTTTTGAGTGCAAAAATAAATGCGCCTGTTTGTTGGACTAACGGCTGGCGGAATTTCGCAACTAGAATGATAAATGATCTAAAAAATAGAATACACTCTATGCGACAAAGCGACCCCGATATTTTCGCCACGGGAAAAGCAGAGCCGACCGAAGCGAAGCGAAGCAGGTGCATTGGACGCCCAAGAAACTATTGCAACACAATCCAAATAAATCTTCGAGTGGAGGAAAAGTGCCTACTCCCCTCTCCGAGTTTTTCCCCGACTTTGCACGGCAGTTGCTGACAGGTTTGAATGTCATCATAACTTAACAAAGGCGAGCCAAAATGAAACACAAACCGAAATGAGCTGACAAATTGCACGCTATGATTTGTGGCAGAGCATTTGAATGTGGAGCAGCGGCACAAAAAGAAACTGAGTGAAAAAAATTGGAAATGACACACGTTTCCCAGTGGTTTCAATAAAAAGGGAAATTCATGCTGGCACAGTGGTTAAGCTATAGGCATTTCTTGAAAATAGCTTAGGGAGGTTGAATAAATCAAAAAGGATTTATGACAAATTGCACAACAAATTGAATAATAAGCAATACCAACTATAAATTTGACAACCGCATTTTATTTTCCTTGCCTGATTGACTTAAAATATAAGAAAGACTTAAATATTTAATATTATGTTGTCACATCTTTGGCGAATTTGAAATATTTATAATTGAAAAATAACATTTCGGTATTCGAAAGTTTGTTAAAAATAAAATTGATCCTAATGTTAAATCGTTCTTTCTTTGATGTAGTATTTAAGACAACAAAATTCTACCATTCAAAAATATATATATAAGCAGCTCGTTGCAACTTTCTCCAAAATCGAGCATACCCGTTTCATGTCTGGGATCACTGAGTACAAAATATCCCATAGACCCAGCACAACCTCATTGCTATGAATAGCATCGGCGCCCTCTTTAGTTTAGTCAGTTCGGTGAGTTTAGTCAGGCCTGCAAATGTCAATCCGACCAGGCCAACTATAATTAGCCCGAAATGCAACACAGAAAGGTGTCAAATGTTCGGGGATATTTAGTGCCATTCGAATTCATTGTTAGCTCCAAATTTAGTCGATTGGAAAACTTTGGGGAGCATAATTCACATGACTTGGCACATGATTCAATACCAAATGTCACATGCCTCAAATGCCGGAAGTTTTCCACCACAAAAACAAATGTGAAACGGAAGCTGTGGGATAGTCCTCAAGGGCAACTCGATGTTGTATTGGTCGCAGCTGCTTTTATTTTTATTCTGTTGTCATTCATCTGCGAATGGCAGCTGATGAATCCGAGTTTCGCCAATTGCTGCGGGCCCTGTTAAATTTAATATGCAAAAATTGAATATGACTTTCAATTAAAAGTTGGTCGTTGCCGCCGTGTGGGCGTTTAAATATTTTTCATTGGCAAGCTTTTCCCCAAGCGGGTAAAAAGCGGCGGAAGCTGGAAAAGCAATTAATCGAGCTCGCAGTTGAAGGCGCTCGGAAGGAACTTTCCCGCCAGGACAGCATAAAGGCGGAGGTGGGCATAAATCTACATAATTTAACCGAGACAAGTGCAGCGAAAATTGTGGAACCCAAGAGAAAAAATATGACGAAGTTTCTGAATTAAGTTTGAAGCCAATAACCTGTGTTTAATTCTCTTTTTAAGCTGTTTTAAAATAAGGAAATAAATTAAAATTGAGATCATTGTAAATAGTAACCCAATTCCCTGCTTTAATTCAACGATCATAAAACCTAAATAGAAAAAGAAAAACAGTATGTCTGTCAGCCCAAAGACCCATTTAAGACAGATAACGCTTAATTCCATAAGCCATAAAAAAAGCCTACAAAAGATTTTATTTCCTGAAGTCCACGGGTGGATATAAAGATTATAGCTCCCAATATTACGACCAATAATTCCATTTCGATCTGTGGACGCAGTGGACCAAGTTATTAATGTGGCAGCAACTATCGTAAACTACGGGTTCGTTGTACTCAGTGAGAGCAATTATGGGGGACTCCCGGTTCGGGCAATAAAAATTAACAATTACCAATGCAAAATGAAAAACAAATTATCATATTTTTTTTTATAAATGTGCATAAATATAAAATGTGTGCACCCATTAAAAAATTACAAACAGTTGGGGTCTGGGCATGCAAAACAGTGAATGGAAACTGAAACTCCTCCCATCGTCTGCGAAATACTGACCAC